CCCCCCCCCCCCCCCCCCCGGCATACAGTGTTCAAGAGTAAGACTTTATTTCGAGCTATTATGCAGTCACCTCTATATACACTACTCAAAAACATGTCAGGACTAAAATGAACTAAAATTAGTTTTTTAAATGAAATTAAAACATGTTAGAGTACATGTTTGATTTTTAGTATATGATTTATTTTTTTTATCTATAGCTTGTTAAAATGATACCTTCTGAAAGGTTTTGTGTGGCCCTTGATGGCTCATCAAGACTTAAGTGGCCCACCAGGTAAATTTAATTGCCCACCCCTGAGGTAGATCATATAAGTACTGCTGAGCTCTAGCAGGATTCTGAGAAACCATGGTTGGGCTTCTTTTGCCCTGAGCTATGTATAATAGTCTTCTGTGTATAAATTCTGGACTGTATAGTCACATGCATTAAATTGGAGTGGGGCGGGCAGTTATTTCAGGCGGAGGGCCGCTTACTGAGGTTTGGCAAGCCATTGGGGGCTGCATAACAGGCAGCCAGGGGCAGAAAAATATTAATTTTCTAAATTTTTTAGGGGCTCTGCAGGCCAGATAAAATGGCCTGGCAGGCTGCATCTAGCCTGCAGGCCGCATTTTGCCCACCCCTGAATTGGAGTATCCATGGCTTTAACATCAAAAGATAAATTGCTTTTGTTTACAGGTAGTAGCATAGGAAACACTTTGGAGTTTTGTCCTTGCAGATTCTATTGGTGTAAGTGTAACACATCCCTGTGAGATGTATTCTGTACGGTACCAAGATGTTTCCGTACTGGATGAGTATAATTCACTTTCCTTTTTTCTTGAATCCACTAAAGGTTCTTTGTCTTCTTGCCTCTTTTTTGTGTACTTCCTGCAGTTTATATGCTGACATTTAGTAATTGGGAGCACAGAAAGCAAGTGAATTTTCAAAGTACACCTATCCTGATACCCTCCCATGTGTTGTCTTTTCCAATATGGCCATCCTTGGCCATATTCATTCTTCTCCATGTAGGAACTTCTGTTCCAGGAAATCTCTCAGCTGTCTCCTGTCAGGAAATCCCCCACATGGAATCATTTAACCACCTCCAGGTGTTTAACACTCTCAACCTCAATTGTTGGAAGGTAAGGAATTACTTCAGGGGTCTTTCTGAAATCTGGATCATGCTTTCTCCCCTGCATTTAAGTCTTTGATTGCTTTACAAAGCACCAACAACATCAAATATTTCTACTACGGGTGTAGAAATTGTTTCCATTACTGTGTCAGAAGCACTACCTTGAACATCTGTAAATAAGAGAGATGTTCCAGAATTGCTTTGCCTTGATACAAGGCAATCTTGATACAAGGCAATCTTGATACAAGGGTCAAGAGCCTGTTACAGCCTCCTGTAGAACATAATTCCTTCCTCCTGTAGGAGTCAGTTTTCTTTTAGAAGCATAGAAAAGGATAATCTTGGACATGTAGGTCCCAGGCTAGTGATCATAGAAAAGTAAGATTGGAAGGGACCTCAGAAGATCTAGTCTAACCCCCTGCACAAAGCAGAACTATCCCCAACTATATCATCCCAGCCAAGGCTTTGTATACTTGGGTCTTAAAAACCCCCAAGGATGGAGATTCCACAACCTCTCTGGGTAGCCTGTTCCAGTATTTTACTACCCTCCTAGTGAGAGGTTTTTTTTCCCCTAATATCCAACCTAAACTTCCCTTGCTGTAATGTGAGACCATTGTTCCTTGTTCTTACCTTCCACCACTGAGAACATCCTCTTTGGAACCAGCCTTCAGGTAGGTGAAGACTGTTATTAAATCTCCCCTCAATCTTCTTTTATCTAGACTAAATAAGCCCAATTCCCTCAGCCTCGCCTCACAACTCATGTGCGCCAGACACCTAACCATTCTCGTTGCCCTTTGTTGGAATCTTTTCAATTTGTCTGGATTCTTTCTGTAGTGGGGGGGGCCCAAAACTGAACACAGTACTCCAGATGTGGTCTCACCAGTGCTGAATAGAGGGGAAGAGTCATTTCCTCGCTCGACCAGCAATGAATG